AAGTAGTATAGGTAACTATTTAGGCTTCTAGATTAACCTAAGCCCAAAACTCCTGCTTGGATGGCATCGACGCCTAGGCCCCCTAGAAGCGCCATCTCGGAAGTTTTAGAACTCTTCGACTCCACACAGCTGCCCCTAAGGGTCCATGTACCTAAATAGTATATACTTTGGCCCCAAAGTACCTATATAGGGCCTACTTTAAGGGCTAAGTATATACTATTTGGGTACATGGACCCTTAAGGTGCTTTCAAAAAACAAAGGTCGAGGAGCCTCGTGAGCTCGAAGTGGTTCCGGAAATGGTTCACACGCCTTGGGATGCTTCAGAAGTTACTTGGATTATCATGGCACTGAGTAACTAGTGTAAAAAATAGGGGAGAATAGGGTTTTGGGCTCCTTTATAGTATAAATACAATAAGGAATCCAGAAATAAGATTGCTAATTATCTAGGCTTCTATATTATTCAGTCCCATGATCCTCCAAGTATGAACAGTCGTGGAGCTTCTGGCTTCTTGGTTGTCTCCATGGCTTTTTTCACGTTTCGTGTTTGGGGGCTCTAGGGTTTAGGGTTTAGGGGCTTTGGGTTTAGAGCTTTAGGGTTTAGGGTTTAGGGTTTAGGGTTTAGGCTTTACATGAGGATTCGCAATTTGAACATGGGCTTGTTGGGATTTGCAGGGCCTTTGGGTGGAGGGTTACCCCCTGGCATGGGGAATTTACATTACCGCATTGCGCGAAGATCCGAACCTGAGCGGGCTCCTTTACGAATTGTGCGCTCGGTTTAGGGCTTACCTTCAATCCCATAAGGAAAAACGTCTGATAAGGCCATATGTTCGAGGTTCCAGGATTGCATCTCTTGGGTTTTGATCTGGGGTTGATGGTGTTGGGGTTCTTCGCACCGTCAATATATTTAGGAAACCTGGCAGAATCCATGGGACCCCAAGCGATATCATAATCTTGAAGCCAGCATCTTGCTGCAGCCAATAATGTTCATCCCGAATACATTCCGTGTTTAACAGGCATCCGGCGAGGCCAGGTGGTGTGGGAAGTTGGAGGAAGAGTGAGGGGTGACTTTGGGGTGTTCAGCACCTTGAGCCTTCGAAGGTTTCTCGGGGGGCTAGAGAATGTGAATGGCGCGCCACCAAGCAAAAACCAAAGAAGCAGAAACTCAACCCCTCGTATACCCACGGGCCCCAAAGTAGTTCCTTTTGGGGGTTCATATTTAGAATCCTATAAGGCAATCCCAAAAAGGAACTACTATGGGGCCTATGGGTAGACCCTTAATCCCTTAAGCCCCATGACCCTGAGAATTAGACCCAGCACCCGTAACGGCCACAACACTTGGAGCACCAGAAGGATTTGAAATGTGGGGAAGTATAGATGAAGGTACCTACAACTCCTATTAAGAAACGTGTACCAGTTCTGTTGAAGTAAACCCTACAACCCACTAGTTCAAGACACGAATGCCCCTAAGCCCCAAAGCCCAAACCCGCAATTCCCCATAGAACCCCCCCTGTAAACCTCTGTATACAACCATAAGTTTACAAACAATACTGATATCTTTAGGGTTTAGGGTTTAGGGCTACAAATTTATTTATGTCCTTATTTCTGTATTAAAGAACGCCTTACTGTACCCTAAACCCCTAAACCCCTANNCCCCCCTAAATCCTAAACCCTACTTGGTGTGCTCCGGGCTGGTGAGCTTGCAGGTGGGTGTGGTCGAAGGCATCGTGGATCCACTCCTGCCGGGCATACTATAGGGGCCTGAATAATTAGAATAGGGTTTTGGGGGTTCCTTTAAAGGGCTCCTTAAAGGGTTTAGGGTGTAGGAGCCTCAATAATAAGAAAAGGGTTTTGGGGTCCTTTATAGTACAATTACAATAGGGAACCCCCCAAGTAGTATAGGTAAGTATTAAGGCCCCTGTAGTACACAGGGGACTTAGGGTTCAGGGTTCGGGTTTGGGGTTTAGGGTT